ACTATCTAAACTTCAAAAAACAGGGCATCAAAGGACAAAATGTTATATTTTGTCAAATTTCTCCTAGTCTATCTTGGTGGCTATACAGTCTTCTTTTGATTCTTGAAGCTCACATGGGAAACTTGTATATGGCTAAAAGAACATAGGAACCTCACACCTGCATCTCCTGCCCTAATTACTGCTCCCATCCTCTGGAGACTCTGACCGAATAGGTCACCTATATATGTTTTCATCTCAAGCCTCAGCCTCTTTTCTGTGGGGCAAAAGTGAGCACCTTTGGAGCCAATAGCAAGACAGTGCTGAAATTACTCAGGAGCCAGTGCTCCCACTTGTGATTATTTTCAATGGGTATTTATGACCTACTTTTCACCTAGAAATGCAGATGAACAGAAGCCAGGGAAAACAGGCTCACAGGATAAAATGCATTCAAAAGGCAATTACAACTGGGCACTCGTGGCTTATGCCTGTAATCCTACTGAGTCAGGAGTCTGAGATGTGAGGCTCACGGTTCAAAGCCAGCCCAGGCAGGAAAGTCTGTGAGACTACTATCTCCAACTAACCACCAGAAAACCAGAAGTGGCGCTGTGGCTCAAAGTGGTAGAGCAATAGCCTTGAACAAAAGAATCTCAGGGACAGTGCCCAGGCCCTGAGTTCAAGTTGCATGGCTGACAAAAACGAAAAACAAAACAGAACAAAAAAGGGGGGGACAATTACAGCAGGGACCTAGTGGCTCACACCTATAATCCTAGCTACTCAGGACGCTGGAATCTGAGGATTGTGGTTCAGAGCCAGCCTAGGCCCAAAAAGTGTATAAGTCTCTTATCTCCAGCAAAAAGCAGGAAATGGAGCTGGGGTAGAGTGGTAAAGTGCTAGTTTTGAGCATAAAAATAAAGCTCAGGGCCTTGCGTTCAATCCCCAGGACAAGCACAAAAAAAAAGAGGCAATTCATCAAGCTACATAAAACTTTGAATTTTATTTCTCCCTTCCGTTTGATTTATGGCCCTTTTATTGCTTAGACAAATCTATATCAGGACAAGTAAATGAAAATCTAGAATTTTGGTTACCTGGAAACATACTTCTTTTAAAAACCAATATAATAAGAAGAACCAAAGTGAAAAGTAAAAGGACTCCAAAAAGGTTATTTCAAAGTAGAACATATAAATGTCGCTCTCTTATTCCTGATAGAAGTTATTTAAATTCTGACATTTGAAAATAGAGCAAAGGAAGCAAAATTATATGCCCTGGCTTAATAACACTCTTATGATTGCTCTTCCTCAATTCTGGATGGCCACAGTAGCAAATGGCTCCTGAAATAAGCAATGACTATTTTTTTAAGTGATGCTAGGGATGGAACACACTGAGCCACACCACGCCCCAAAGAAATTCTTTACATCTTTTACAGTACTTTTTAATAGTGCAGCATCACTGTTAGGTAAGTAGTATTATAGCATTATCTATTGACAGTTGGTGAAAAGACAAGTAAGTTCATGATTTCTCTAAGGTTATATAATGTGTGTATAGCAGTTATAAAAAGATAGGCCTGAAGCTGGGTGCTGGTGGTTCACACCTGTAATCCTAGTTACTCAGAAGGTTGAGATCTGAGGACTAAGGTTCAAAGCTAGCCTAGGCAGGAAAGTCCATGAGACTCTTATCTCCACTAAACTACCAAAAAAGCCGAAAATTGCCAATAAGATTGGCCACCATTGTGAATTCAAACAACAAAAGTTGGCAGAGATGAGAGAAAAAAGGAACCCTACTGCGGGAATGAAAACTAGTACAACCACTCTGGAAAGCAGTCTGGAGGTTCCTCAAAAAACTAAATGTAGACCTTCCCTACAACCCAGCCATAGCACTCCTAAGCATCTGCCCTGAACATCATGAGCCAGGATATGATAAAGACATCCATGTTCATTGCTGTGCTATTCACAATAGCCAAGACATGGAAACAGTCCAGATACCCTACAATAGATCAGTGGATCCAAAAAATGTAGTACCTATACCCAATGGAATTTTACACAGCAATTAGAAAGAATAAAATAATGTCATTTGCGGGGAACAAATCATGTTAAATGAGGTAAGTCAAGCCCAGAGAGAAAAACAGGACATGTTCTTTCTGATATACAGAAGTTAGATCGAAAGGCATTAGGATATGGTAAATTATACAGGATTCTAGATACTTACACACAGTGAGACCAAAAGAAAATACTCAGGAGAGAAACATAAAGGCGCAATGCCTCTTCATTTTCATATAAAATAATATACGGGCTGAGAATGTGGCTTAGTGGTAGGGTGCTTGCCTAGCATGCATGAAGCTCTGGGTTCAATTCCTCAGTACTAAATAAAAGAAAAAGCCAGAAGTGGTACTGTGGTTCAAGTGGTAGAGTGCCAGCCTGGAGAAAAAGAAGCTCAGGGACAGTGCCCAGGCCCTAAGTTCAAGGCCCATGATTAGCAAAAATAAAAAATAAAATAAATAAAATAATATACAGGCTGTGAATGTGGCTTAGTGGTAGAGTGCTTGCCTAGCATGCATGAAGCCCTGGGTTCCATTCTTCAGTACCACATAAACAGAAAAGGCTGGAAATGGTGCTGTGGCTCAAGTGATAGGGTGCTAGCCTTGAGCAAAAATAAGGTCAGGGATAGTGCCCAGACCCTGAGTTCAAAAAATTAAAAAATAACAAAATAATACACATACTGAAACAAACTCCAAGATATGGAAACAAAAGACTTTTTTCTTTCTTTTTTTTAAGTTTTTAGCTTTTTGATGATTCTGTGTGAATACAGTGTATTCACACGTATATCTTCAGCAGGGTTGCAGGGAGGACTTAGAACTCGAGGGAAAAAGGGTGAAAAACTGCAGCAGTGGAGCTCACTGGACATTGATAAGAGTAAAGTATACAACTTGTGGGTGGAGATGGGAGGGAGGGACTGGGAGCAAGTGAGGGAACAGACAACATCGTATGAAAGGAAATGTACTTATTGCCTGACTCACATAATTGTAATCCTCTGTACATCACCTCTATAAAAATAAAGTAAATTAATTTTTTTTTAATCCAGAAGTGGAGCTGTATGTAACTCAAGGGTTGAGTGTCAGTCTTGGGCATAAGAAGCTCAGAACAGAACCGAGGCCCTGAGTTCAAGCTTCAAAACTGGACCAAAAAAGCAAAAGGTAAAGTGCCACGCCTAGCATTTGTACAATCTTGGGTTCAATTCCTAGCACCAAAAATAAATTAATACTACCGTAGTATGCTTTGCATTAGTGTTCAGTGATATGATTAGTGTTCAGTGATTTTTTTTTAACTATACACAATTGCTACAGTGGAAACTACCCTTTTTCAAATGCTAACCATGTAGACCACCATGTTCACTCCTATATATTCTCTATTTTAATTCTGGCAACAATTTTTTAAGGTAAGTTATAATATTATCCCTTTTACAGAAAAGGGAAACAGGGCTAGAGAAGTAAATAAGTTGTTCAGGGTCAGCTAAGAAGTGACAGAACTGGGAATTTGTGTTTTTTTTAAATAGAGTTTTCTAGGTGAGTGTAGTAGTTCATACATGTAATCTAGGCACTTGGAAGGCAGAGACTGGGAGACACAATGGTGAAGGCCAGTCAAGGCAAAAAGTTGGCAAAATACTCCTTTCAACAAAAAAAGCTTGGTGTGAGCTAGCACTAGTGGCTCATGCATGTAATCCTAGATACTCAGGGAAGCTGATGATTATGGTTTGAAGCTAGCTGGGCAGGAAAGTCTGTGAGACTCTCATCTCCAATTAACTACCAAAAGCTGGAAGTTGTGGATCAAGTTGTAGAGTGCTATCCTGGAGCAAAGAAAAAGCTCAGAAACAAGGTCCAGGCAGGGAGTTAAAGCCCTAGGCCTGGTGCATGCGCGCACGCGTGCATGCGTGCGCACACATACATGCACACACGCACACACGTGTGCACGCACACACACAGAGTTCAGTATGGTGGTTCACATGTGTAATCCCAGGTTTCTCATAAGTATGAAGAGGACCCGTTGTCTGAGGCTAGCTCCAGGCAAAAATTCAAGAACCCCATCCCCAAATTAAAGGGTATGGATTAAGTGGTAGAGCACCTTCTAAGCAAGTATGAGACCCTTGAGTTCAAACTTTACTACCAGCAAAAAAAAAAATCTTACTGTTACTATCTAAAGGATGGGAATAGGATGATAAAATATTTTCACAGTTAAGGTGTAATTAGAACCAAAATGGTTATATGAAAGAGTCATATAAAGCTGTTCATAAAACTATTTCAAATAATGAAACACCTGATACTGAAGTTACTGTAGGTAGCTTTATGGATATTATTTAAATAAAGGGCTCAGACAAGAAAAATAACTACATGAAAATAAACCTTTCAATTAATTCAATAATATTCCAAAACAAACATTATCACAAATAATAATTGAGATGACACTCCATTTCCAATATAGGAATATAATATCCTGCCAATGTGGTCACTGGTCATGAAGGTAACAAATTACATGATCACCAAAGGTTGTCCAAAGTCCTGAGTGCTATACCATATAGCTGAACCACAGTAAAATACTTTGCTCAGAAATTATGACCATTTTCCTGTTGACATGATCCTGTTACCTTCCTTTGTAATAACCATAATAACTTTAGTAAAGGTGGAAGAGAAAAACATGCCACAATTATTTTTAAAAACACATGTGAAGAATAAATGGTATATGCAAATTAAACAAACAGCTTGTTTTGTAAGTAATCATGGCCTCTATAAAGATTTTCATTCCTTTTCAAAAGAAAAATATTTGAATAATATAAATACTGATTTATTCCTTTTTGTTGAGTGGTAAATAAATTAAACCCAGCTTTGCATTTAACAGGCTAGGGAATATTTTTCTAAAAACTTCCCATTTAAAATTCTACTCAGTGAATAATGCAATACAGTCTAAAATAAGCAATTTCCTCTTTAATGAGTTTAAAATAATTTTTATACTCAAGAGACAGAAATACCAACTTACCAGCTTTGTGCCTCTTTTAATTTCCTTTTGGACATCTTCAATAGAAAATCCACCAAGACTTTCATTATCAGAATGTGATGATACCAAAGCAGATGAAAAGAGCTATAAATTACATGGAAAAAAATAAGGTTCATATACATATAGATAAATAGATATAAAGTAGTTCTAGTAAAACCACAAGTAAGATGTTAAATTTAACAAGAAATGTTCTACTAAATGCAGTACAGCATTAGTGACAAATCACTTCTTCAAACCTTCACTGAGTGGCTTTGTTGTATTGAGAAATACTCATGCGCTAGGAAGTTGCTCTCTTGGGAATGGCTTGACGGTTTGGAGTGGCTGCCCATCTACTTACCATGCACTTGTGGTGTGCTGCCACCTTCTGGTTTTCAGATATTAGTAACTGTCCACATTCCTTGTCTCTATTTGACTTACAAAAGCCACATTTGCGCTGTCTCGTAGGCCCCTTTTTCTGTTCAATTGAGCTTGACATGATTTTTAAATTGCTGTTAGAATGCCACTTTAAGCCTCAAGAAATGCTACAGAGAAGAAGAATGGCAACAAACAGTTAATTACGTTTTAAAATCAATTTGTACAGAGTACCATAAGTAGTTGGATGTTTGACCTAGGATTTAATATGTACACTTAAAAATGGCTACTAAGTAAATTAATATTAAAACCCAACATTATTTCAATTATACACACATACAGAGACAGACAGACAGACAGAAAGACAGACAGACACCAAAGGAGAAAAAGAACACTAAATGAAGTGTACAGTAATTGAGAAAAATCCAACTGCTTTCAAACTGGGGAACATGTGAAATAATTGTTTTTTGTTGATTAAAAAAATGTACAATGAGCTGGGCACTGATGACTTATGTCTGTAGTCCTAGCTATTCAGGAGGCTGAGATCTCACAACTGTGATTCAAAGCTAGCCCAGGTAAGAAAAATCCATGAGACTCTCATCTCCAATTAATTAGTATAAAAATGCTAGAGGTGGAGTTGTGGCTCCAGTGGCAAAGCACTAGTCTTAAGCAAAAGAAAAAATAAACTCAACAACAGGGTCCAGGCCCTGAGTTCAAGCCCCAAGTGTGGCACCAAAATAATTAAGTAAATAAATTGTAAAACATAGCCGGGCACGGCAGTGCACTCTATTATCATAGTACTTATGAGGCTGACGCAGGAGGAATGAGAGTTTGAGGACAGCCTGGGAAAAACAAAGAAAAGTACGATGTATAATACTAAGTCATCATCTGCTGTGCTGGTATAAGTTATGAAAAACATTTTAAGTACAGTGATGTACATATCAAGGAGATGCAGAATTTTGTGTCTAAGAGTAGAGCAAACACTACTAAGAAAGCTACAAAATATCCAGAGCTAACAGAATCTGTAACTGCTCAATTTCTTTAAGTTCACATATTGCTGAAAATATTTTTTAATTAATAGAAATAAAATGAACATAATAAACCATGGCTTTGGAGAACTTACTTTTAACACCTGAATTATTTTCAAATTTTAAAAAATTGATGTAAATGATTCCAAATAAACTGATTTTTTTCTATTCTATTCCTGAAAAAAATTAGCTTCTGACAAATGCAAGCTTAGGACCCAATTACATAAAAGGTATATACTATATGATTGAGATTTATTTCATGCCTACTTATTAATTAAAGCCAGGGATAGTCTAACTGCAGTTAACTTCCATATGTCAATTAGTGACACTGCTTAGTGGAAGGAATTTTTTTCTGAACGAGCTTACATTTGATCAAATGATCATTATAGTTAGCACAGACAAAAGAAAAGGGAAAGAAAAGGAATAACACAGAAGTTTTCAGATTTAAGCATTTTTACAATAAAAATGTAGTTAAAAAAATGAAGTTTTCAGATTTAGATAATTTTCAACATAGATTCTCAAGAAAGAGACTGTGAACTCATTCCAGGTCTAAGTAATTCAGCACACAGTATGCTATAAGCCACATTACAATCAATAAAATCTCTAACTTCTATGGTAAAATAAATTTATTAAATTGTTTCATTTTTCTGCATATTTAAACATTTGTATAACCCTGCTGAAAAACCATTAACTCATTTGACAGTACGCTGTGGCTTTCTGAGATGTATCTGTTCACCTATAAGAATAGGAACAGCAAAGTAAGCTCGTGTCTACAAACCATTCAGTGCTATTCGACATAAAAATTTAGATAACTCATGAAAATTTAACATGAAGTCATCAATAAAATGCCTTCTCATTAATTTATGTCATCTAGTATTTTCTTTTTTTCAACAGAAGGCCAAAGGCCCTGACAAGTAAGTGTGCCTTGATGAATTTAACGAAGTCTTAAGGCTATTCACAATTTTAAATACCTCAGTCCTCCAAGTGGTATCAGATACTGGATTCACAGCACTAACTATAAACTCTGAAACTGATTGAAAACAGACAGCAAATACTTTTAGGATTAAAGAGAAAAAGATATAACAGAGAAACAAAAGAAACAAAAGGGGAAGTGTGTTTGCATTTGCCCAGGCAAATATGTGTTCAGTTGCTTTATCCAGAATAGAACTGCCCAAATTTTTAGAACTATGCAAAACAGCAAGATTCACAAATAGCATCAAAATCTGCTATTTGAGTGTTATATTAGTGTTCATTACTATCATGAATGAAGAACAGACACTCTGAAGTCACCATAATGTATTCAGCATTTCTCCCGGCCATTCTGGCCAGCAGAAAGGAAGGCACCCATTGTAAATCTAATCTGCATAGATATCTTTAATATGCAATTTCTATGCAATCCTAGCACTGACTATAACACTGCCCTAAGGCAAGTAAAATTTTGAGAGTACAAATTTAGGTTTTACTGTAAAATTTAATCCTGAAATGAAATTCCCCCCAAATTCTATCCCTGTTGAATTCTGCCTCATTCAATTAGTAAACAGGTAAATTTCATCCTAAATTTGAGAATCTGCTTTTCTAGATATGAAAGACACCAAAATTTAAAAGAGAAAAAAAAATCTTCCCCTTATACTGTATTCAGAAATAGTCTCATGGATTCCCCTGTAATGAGTTTAAATATAATTTGTAAAGTGAACAGAGCCACACAAAAAAAGTACAAGAAACCAATTTAAAAAGTTTCCCCAATATGTAATGACTAAATGGATTTTTCCACTAAAATTCAAATAATGCATCTGTGCATATCTTAATAATTTTTTACAGCCTCCTTCCTTATAAAACATGAAGTGGAGAACATCATGGAAACAATGACTCTTAGCAAAAATGTCTATCACAGAAATTCAGATTTTTATCTCATGCTGTCACATTTGTGGTCTGTATTAAGTAAAATCAGGGCATTCCGAAGAACATTACTAAGGGGCTGGTAAATGATTCTGAGCTATATAGTATTTTAATTTCAGTGTACAAAGGTTTTTTTAGGGCAAGCGAAGATCAAAGTTTGATGTTCTCACCCAACAATGAAACCTTTCCCTTAAAAGAATCCTAATGTTATGGACACAGTTATAAAGCAGAAATAAAGAGGCAGCAATAACGGCATGGAAAGCCTAATTGAAACGTCTGACAGAATACAAAAAAAGGCAGATTAGGCAGGTTGAAGCAATCAATACGTTTTTGATTTTTCCAAGATGCTTGGGAGGCACCAAGGTAGAAATGGCTTGAAACATCCAGGAGAGCATTCACGACCCAAGTTGAGGGCTTATTCAATGCCTGCTATCTGAAAGAACATTTTCACAGAAAACAAAACAAAAACTGCAGTTCCGGAAGATTAAAACATTCCCTACGCCAGCCAGAGTGTAATCTGCACATCCTGATCCATCAACGCAATCGCTCAGAAGGAAAAGTTACAGGAGAAAGAAACGAGTAAGAGGTGTACCGGAAGGGCACCTGAATTTGGTTGCACGATATTGTTACATGTTTCGTACTGCTTTTCTTTCTTTCTTTCTTTCTTTTTTTTTTTTTTTTTTTTGCGGTTATTCAAAAGGAAACTAAAGGAATTTTCCAGTTCTTTCAAACCCAAGGGTAGAGAAAGAATTTGAGCTGTATGAATATGATCTGGTATTACGTAGGGATCAGATGAAAAGGGGGGGGAAAAAGGTTCTCGGGAACCCAAGAGATTGTTTAACTTCCACTTGGAATATTGAAACGAGTGCAAATTGCAGAATACCGTGACTGCTCGCCTATATAATAAAGGATGGTTACACCTAGCATAGCCGATCTTCTCCGTTATTTTACCCCCCCCCCCCCCGCTCGGGGCACAATTCGATCCCCAAATCTCTGTCTAATTCAGGCGCTAGATAAAACTCGAGAGAAACTCTCTTCCTCTAAAACACTTCAGCAGCTCCCTTTCCGTGTTCAAGTCGGGGTCCCCTCATCGTCCTTTAACCACGCTCTCCCCAAGGTGGGCAAACCTCATCCTAACACTTTCCCTGCACCCCCCCCCTCCCCCAGGAGATCGTCCTCGCCTTTATCCAAGAGTTTCATCCCTCATTTCCCCACCCCGGGAGTTTTTTTTCTTTTTTTCTTTCTTTCTTTTTTTTTTTCTTTTTTTTCCCCTCATTCCGTCAAGGCTAAAACCCTCATTGCCATGCTAACAATTCTTCTTCTCCCACTTTCCAAAGCGGGAGTTACCGTCCTTCCCAAAATGTGTTCGAAGCCAACAGTCCAAAGACTTGAAAAAAAAAAATCCCAGCTTTCCCCCCCCCCCCTCCTCAAAGGTTGGACCCTCCACCCCTGAAGTCCAGGCATAAGCCTAGCCTCTCCTCGGGTACCCCTAAAACACTTTCTCAGCAGCCTCGGTGCCAAGTGCCTACCATGAGCGGCGCTTCTGGGGTTCCTGACAATAAAGCAAGACCACCAACAGTCGCCCCTTAACAACAGGCAGGGGCGGCGGCCTGGCCACCGCCATCCTCCTTGTCTTCTCCCGCCTGGCAGAGAATGGGGGGCCTCTGGGCTCCCTGAGTACTCACCACTAGGGCCCCGAGGCGGATGGCAAGAGAGAAGCGCCAATGAGGGGAAAGAGAAAGAAGTCGGTCTCTGTTCTCCAGCACTGCCTGAGAGCGGGGCTCTGTCGCCGGAGGTTGTTTCCTTTCATTCGAGGAGAGACAGGCTCGCCGAGCGCCCTTACGTCGCCTCCCCCTCCCCTGTGCACGCACACGACCCACATAGCGTTGATACGTCCTGAGCGTGCTGCGGACTTTGGTTGGCTGCAGAGACGCGGAGGTTGAAGCGGCGAGGACACGGCGCATGTGCATAGGCCATTCCCTGTACGGATCGGGTAACAGACTCCGCCTCCTGCTCGCGCGCCTACCTTCTATTCTCCGCTCCGCCGCTCCGCCGAATGTTTGGGGCAGCATCTAAGGGACGCCAGAGAAAGACACCGCAAGATTGCCCTATGGGTTGGAAGGAGAAGGAGCAGAGCTAGCGACTAGAAACCGTTGGATGCGGGTTCTGGGTAGCCCCTTTTCAACAGTTTTTCAAATAAATAGGCCGGAGATCCTTTGCACTTGCTCACCCAGGCCCTTTCACATCCATTATTTCATTGTAGTCTCGTGGTATCCCTTTGAGGTCCTCTATTCGCCTTGTTTTACTGTCCGCAAAGACAGAAGCTCACAGTGCCCTTAGCAATCCTTGGTTAAATCATTTTAACCTCTTAACTTTAACCCTTTTTTGTCATTAAAATAGGAATATAATCATATATCCCGGGTTTATCGTGAAGAAGAATGAGAGACTGCAAAGAAAGCGTGTACTACTACCGTCCCTGACGTACAACACACACTTTATAAATCCTGGGATTGGCATAATCAGAAAATATAAGTGATTTCCTTTACAACACACAGGTAAACCAAAAGCCTAAATCTGAGCTTTTCTCTTGCATATAGCTGAGCCAGGCTGCTTGAATTTGTATCTCTGCTTCCTCACTACTAGCTGAATGACCTTGATCACATTACATTACCTTTCTGTCCCTTAGATTCATCTTGTCCAAAATGGAGAACATAATGGTATACATGTCAAAAGGTTGTTGTGAAAAATCGGTTGATATATAAATTTCAGACAATGATGCCTGGGCACATACAATGCCCTATTGTAAGGAACAATTTTTGTTATTTACTTCTGGCCCCCACAGACTACAAGCCAGTCATTTTTAAAAAAAGAAGAAGAAAAGGCTTTTGAACCTTTAAATATATTCTTTAAAAGGGGGGGGGGATCTTCTTTTCATTTCTTTTGTAGTGGAGGTGTATTTCTACTTTTAATTTCTCCATTCTTGTGTGAATCTTGTACATTTTCTCCATAATGTCCACCTTAAATTGTAATCTACAAGAAAACACTGATTGTAGTATACTGTCAACCCCATTCAAATAGGTATCCCATAAAAGCAGACAAATCAGTCACTAATTAGTTGAAAGAAACCCTTAGCTCTTGTACCAAGGCTATATACTTTAAAAAGGAGTGGCTACAGATTTTTGGGAGAAGATCCAGAATATGTGTTCCAAACATTTATGGTATATGTAAAAAAAAAAAGCAGGTCCACCAACATCATGTTTTATCAGCTTTACAAGCTTATAGGATGAGAAAGATGACTAAATAAGTGAAAAATGTAATGTACACTATCTTTCTTGTCAGGTTACCCCAAATTCACATCTGTCTCTCTCTTATTCAGCCTTTCTTGAATTCATTTAAAAATGTTGATTCAATGGGACTGGGAATGTGGCTCAGTGGTACAGCGCTTGCCTTGCATGCATGAGGCCCTGGGTTCGATTCCTCAGCACCACATAAGCAAAAAGAAAAAAGCCGGAAGTGGCACTGTGACTCAAGTGGTAGAGTGCTAGCCTTGAGCTGAAGTGCTGAGGGACAGCGCCCAGGCCCAGAGTTCAGGCCCCACAACCGGACCCAAAAAACAAAAACAAAACAAAAAAAATGTTGATTCAAGGCTACAATGCTTGATAAGAAATGTACTCATTATCTTGCCCATGTAATTTTAACCCCTCTGTACAGGATTTTCACAATTAAAAAAACGTTGATTCAATAGTCATTTGCAAAACTATTGTTTCATACACAAAGGAGACACAGATCAATATAATTCATACTCTACTCTTGTGTTCAAGGTTTAAAACAACAGACATACAAGCAAACAAATGCAATATGTTGTGATAAATACAATATGTTGTGATAAATGTGACATGTTGTGATAAAGGTGTGTTTGCTGGGCACAGTGGTTATCACCTTTAATCCTAGCTACTCAAGAGGCTGAAATCTGACAATTGTGGTTTGAAGCCAGCCTAGGCAAGAAAGTCCATGAGACTTTTTTTTTTTCAATTAACCAGCAAAAATCTGGAAGTAGAACTGTGTCTCAAGCAGTAGAACAAACGAACAAAAAAAAACCTAAAAAATGTGAGTACCTACGCCCCTAGTTCAAGCCCCAGTACTACTAGCACAGACACACATACACTTTGTGTGTGTGATACAAAGATTTTCTGCCTATTATGGACAAAGCACTAGGCTAAGGCACAGCACTTGTAATGAATAAGATACAACTGTTGCCTTCAACTATTTCCAGTGTAGCAAGAAAATGGCAAATAGAATACAAATTGATACAATGTCTTAATTGGTAAAAAGAAACTACAGAGAGTTCAAGCTAGCAAGAGATAGGTGACTTCAGTTTCTTTCAAGCCCAGATCTCTGGGAGCCAGTTTCAATTAGCATGACTGACAGATACAGACTGTTATTTCAAAGGCTACAGAAAAGAGTCAGATGGTGATAGCTTGCTGTTAATGCCCGTGAGTGTAACTAGGGATCTATTAATCCCTTATTGATTCTCAAGTGCACTCCCCCCAATAAGCTTCTAGTCTTTTTCCTTAGGCTCTAGATCTTGCTTTTTGTACTTATTCTCAGGAAAGGTCTTAACTTCATATTTATTTAGAAAAGCACCAGTGGTTCATGTCTGTAATCTTAGCTACTCAGGAAGCTGAGATCTGAGGGTCAGAGTTTGAAGCCAACCCACTCAGGAAAGTTTGTGGCACTCTTATCTCCAATTAACTACCAAATATGCCAGAAGTGGCGCTGTAGTTCAAGTGGTTGAGTGCCTTGAGCACAAAAGCTTAGGGAAAGTACCTAGGCCCTGAGTACAAGCCCCAGGCCAGGCATGAGAAAAGAAGAGAAAAGAAAAAGGCAGTCTGAGTTAAGCTGGATCTTGTACACCTAACCTCTGCTTCCTTCAAAACTTGGAGACCTAGCCATCTCTCTTTTCATCTACTTTCTAAAACTAAAATTGTTCATTCAATCACATCTCTTGGGCTAGGAAGGTGGCTCAGTGGTAGAGTGCTTGCCTTGCATGCATGAGACCCTGCATTCAATTCCTCAATACCACATTAAGCAGAAAAAGCTGGAAGTGGCTCTGTGGCTCAAGTGGTAGAGTACTAAACTTGAGCTGAAGAGCTCAGGGGCAGTGTCCAGGCCCAGAGTTCAGGCCCCATAGCTGACAAAAATAAATATCACATCTTTTTGCTTGCACTCTGGAAGAACTGACTACCTACTTAATCTCCATTATACCAGCATCAATTGCCCTACTCTCATTTGCCTACACACATGTAAGACTCATCTAGTTTCAGTGCCAGACAGTGCCCTTTGCCTAAAATTGGTCTCCAGTCATTCATTCAGCAAGAATTTACAGACATCTTTTCTTTTTTCTTTTCAGGCCCACATTGGGGCCTGAACTCTGGGCCTGGGTGCTGTCCCTCAGCTCTTCAGCTCAAGGCTAGCGCTCTACCACTTGATCCACAGTGCCACTTCCGGCTTTTTTTCTTTTTGCTTGTGTGGTGCTGAGGAATCGAACCCAGGGCCTCATGCATACAAGGCAAGCACTCTACCACTGAGCCACTTTCCCAGCCCTTTTTTGAAGAAGAAGAAAAAAAAGAAGAAGAAGAGGAGGAGGAGGAGGAGGAGGAGGAGGAGGAGGAGAGGAAGAAGAAGAGGAAGAAGAAGAAGAAGAAGAAGAAGAAGAAGAAGAAGAAGAAGAAGAAGAAGAAGAAGAAGAAGAAGAAGAAGAAGAAGAAGAAGAAGAAAGAAGAAGAAGAAGAAGAAGAAGAAGAAGAAGAACAGGAGGAGGAGGAGGAAGAGGAGGACAACGACGACGACGACAACGACGACTTCAAGGCCAGCCTAAACTAGAGCATGAGACCTGATCCCTAAAAAGAAAAGCCACATCAAGTTATATACCTTAAATATATCCTTTTGTCTTTCTTTTTAAAATTTGATTTATTTATGTATTTATTTTGTTATGGGGCTTGAACTCAGAACCTAGATACTGATCCTGAGCTTTTTTACTCAAGGCTGGTGCTCTAGCACTTTGAGCCACAGCCCCACTTCTGGGTTTTTTCAGATGGCTAATTGGAGATAAGAGTCACCGACTGGGGCTGGGAAAGTGGCTTAGTGGTAGAGTGCTTGCCCCTAGCATGCCTGAAGCCCTGGGTTCAATTCCTCAGTACCACATAAACAGAAAAAGCCAGGAGTGGTGCTGTGGCTCAAGTGGTAGAGTGCTAGCCTTGAGCAAATGAAACTCAGGGACAGTGCACAGGCCCTGAGTTCAAGCCCTAGCACTGGCAAAAAAAAAAAAAAAAAGTCACAGGCTTTCCTGCTTGGGCCACTTTGAATCACAATCTTTAGATCTCAGCCTCCTTAGTAGCTTGGATTACAGGCTTGAGCCTCCAACACCCAGCTAAATATATACATTTTTCACTTGCAATTATATCTCAATATTGCTGGAGGACAATAATCAAAACAGAGAAAAAGGCTTAATTCTTAAAGGCTTAATTCTTACCTCTAAGGAATCTTTTTAACTGAATGAGGAAGAAAATCATATAAAGAAATTTTCACTGCAATAGTTCACCTATTACATACCTGCTATTACATACCAG